CATGCTCACCTGTATCTGTGTGTGTGCACGCATGCTCACCTGTGCCTGTGTGTATGTATGTATGTAGGTGTTTGCGTGCTCACCTGTGTGTCTGTGTGGGTGTGTGCATGCTCACCTGTGTCTATGACTATGGGGGAGTGCAGCAAATGCCATCACCTGCTGAAACATCTCACAGGCCCTATTTTTGTTCTTCTGAGAATCTTATGTATCCCTGGCTAACCCTGAATTCCTGTTTCTCTTCACCTCTGCTTCCTGAGTTCTGGGTTTCCAGGCACTACCTCTCTTGGCTTCTGTGCTCTACTTCTCCATTACTATGAGCTGCTCTGCTGCTGAGAACTAGAGGGGATTTTATAAATACACTTATTTCCTTTTCTACAGCCTCATAAAAATATTCCAGATCATCCTTGGACATGAGTTTTCTCAAGTTATTACACAGGTCTAACATACATCCTGTGCTCCCTCCATACCAACATCAAAGGACAAAGTTATTTCATTCCTTTCTTTTTTAAATTATGACTCTACTCAGATGTGGGTAGCTTTCTGATGGGTTCCTTTCACAGTATCAGGATCTGGTCATATTTATTCTTCTAAAAAATAAAAAGACTTGGTGTCTAAGCAGCAGAGGACATCTCTGACTCTGACATCTTAGAAACTGCGATGAGAGAAGGAAACTGAAGGACTACAGGTTCCCTAGGGTCCAGTCAACCCTACGACTGGGAAGATGGCCCCCGAGTATATAATCAGGAACCAAGCATATCGTCCAACCTGGAGAGGGTTGCTAGAAGTCAGAAGCTGGACTGGAGGGGAGATAAAAATGGCTGCAGGGATAGTGAGCAGAACTCCCATCTGGTCCTCAGGAGACTCCAGGCCTCAGGAGACTGCAAGCACAGTTGGAGAAAATGGTGAAGGACTTAGCATTTGCTTGGATGGCCTGGTCCTCTTCTACTTTGAGTAGAAGCTCACGGTGCCAAGAGAAGCTAAGCAGAATCACCCGAATCCGTGTGTCTTTCTTTCTCAGATCGAGGCATTGACAGAAGTGGTGGCTGCAGTCAAAGGGAGAGTTGAAGTGTACATGGATGGTGGGGTTCGAACCGGCAATGATGTGTTGAAAGCGCTGGCCCTTGGGGCTAAGTGCATTTTCCTTGGAAGACCAATCCTCTGGGGCCTTGCCTACAAGGTAGGATTGCTAGCAAGAGATTCTGAACTTGGCATTCATTCCCATGGGTTTCTGCAACCCAACTTCCAGTGAAGACGCTTGCAAAAGAGTTTCAGGTCGCCTCCCCTTCAGGTCTCTGCAGTGTTCCACAGACTTCACCATCCCTCACCCTTCCTTTCCTGCTTTGTTTTCTTTTAGTTTCTATGTAATTCTGATTTCATCGATTCTATCCTCCCTGCAACAATACTGACCATACACACAGTTTGCCCCCATCAGGTGGTCAAAATGTTGCATCAAAGCTGTCTCTCCCTTCCTACTTTTCAGGGCGAATATGGTGTTCTGGAAGTCTTAAATATTTTAAAAGCAGAGTTCCACACTTCTATGGCCCTTTCAGGTACGTATTCCGTTCATTGCCCTTTGCTCTCCATTCAGAGCTTCAGGTGGCTGGCTTACAGACAGAGGCTGAAATCCTTCACTCTGCTTAACCTGCCTTGGTTCTGTAATTGTCCTGAAGGAAGAACAGGATAGAAACATTCTACAAAGAAATTGGGGGATGCTCTCTGAAAGTGGAAACACTGTACTGTTCTGTAGGTCATGGTTAGTTGCTAAATTAGTTCCCTCTGTGGCTGTCTAAGGCTCTCACCCCTGGTGTGAAAGTCAACCGTTTCCTAACTTCTTTTAGGAAAAGTATCTCTCGGTGGGTACATTTTTGTGGCACATATGGATGGAGATGAAGGTGGCTATATCAAGCTCAATACCACACAGCTTCTTCCTAAATTCTTACAGGCTTGTCATCACCAGGGACTGCTTGCTGCCCTTTCTCAGCTCCCCAAACCACCATGCTGGCCCTGCTGTCTAGATTCTTTCTCAATCCCCATGTGAAAGCTGGCTCTAGTCTTCATGGTGCATACTAATTAATGTCTTGTGATAAAGAATGATCTTTCCTTGGCAGAAACTTCCCTAGGAGGCAATTGGTAAATAGGGTGCTCACCCGAACTGCTACAATAGCCTTGAGTCTATTCTTCCTCCCAGACCAGTACATACTGCCTAAGTACACCCACCTTTATTTTTGTTTCAGAGATCTAGTTTATTTATTGTTATAAAAGTCTTGACAAGGGTTTGCTATTTTTTAGTCATATCATCACTCCTGAATAACACTTCCAGGGATTCAGACTTAATTGATCTAGGGTGTAGCCTCTGCAGTAGACACTTTCAATCAACTCCCAGAAAATGTCTTTTCAGTTTGACAAACTGAAAAATCACTATGTTACAATGGTTTTCTCGAAAAGAAATAATAATAGATCATCATAGAGAAATACTGGCCTCGATTTCTTGATTTCTTTATTTGAAAAGTATATTTCAACTATGTTTTGAAGAGTATTTTCCTCTGAATGGAAGGTAGATAGATATAGATATAGATAGATGATAACTATATTCAAGCTTTATTTTTATAAGGTGATATATGGACTTCAACTCTTTAGGTTAAGAGGTCAAGGGGCAGCAGTTGACGAGACATACAGATTATCTTATTCCCTAACAATTCTTTTTTTTTAATTTTTATTTATTTATTATTTATTTATTAAAAATTTTCACCTCCTCCCTGCCTCCCTTTTCCGTCCCCCTCCCTACCTCCCCCTCCCTCTCTAGTACTAAGAGCGGTCAGGGTTCCCTGCCCTGTGGGAAGTCCAGGGTCCTCCCCCCTTTATCCAGGTCTATAAAGGTGAGCATCTAAACAAACCAGGCTCCCACAAAGTCAGTCCATGCAGTGGAATCAAAACCCAGTGCCATTGTCCTTGGCTTCTCAGTCAGCGCTCATTGCCAGCCACATTCAGAGTGTCCAGTTTGATCACATGCTTCATCACTCCCAGTCAAGCTGGGCTTGGTGAGCTCCCATTAGATCAGTCCCACCGTCTCAGTGGGTGGACACACCCCTCGTGGTCAAAGGCTTGTACCTGCTGCATACCCCATGCCTATGGAGAAAGAGAAATGAGCTGTTGAACTGTGACAGAGAGAGGAACACATACGCACAGGCACACAGACATGCATACAGGCATAAATGGGGAGACAGAGAGACACCCAGACACACACACACACACACACAAGGGAGAGAGGATGTGCAGAAGCGGGTGTGAAGGGGAAAAGACAATTCTTGGCAGTTGCTTCTCTCCGGCTCTTCTGTGGGACGTGCACCTAGGTCATCAGATCTGCATCCCGGGACCTCTCCCCGCTAAGCCTGCTCACCTGCCTGGCAGCAGGCTCACTATGTGATTCTTTCAGGCTGCCGGTCAGTCACCGAGATCAATCCAGACCTGATTCGCTTTTCCAGACTATAAAGAATTACTGAGCTGCCTCCGAGGGGAAGACAAGACCCCAACATGATATGCAAGGCTTTTCTTCTTCAGCCCCATCCAATCTAGGAGTTTGAGCCCTGTATCCTCAAAAACATAGAGGAATGGAGAAAAGATAAGTAACAGCTCTCACCATAGTGGATGTAGGTGAAGGAATAACACCTATGTTCTATAGAATACCTACAGTTGACAACAATTAATTGACTATGTGAAATAGCCATGTAACAGCAAGAAAGGAGATCGTTGAGTCTGATGGGACATACCAGTTATCGTCACCTAATTATTATGTACATTATACATTATTAAAATGCTATGCTGTGCCATAATTGTGTGCAATTACTATGCATCAATTAAAATAGCAATATATGTTCAAATAGAAATGGGACAGGGTTATCATGATGTAGTTTTACTCATTTCATCCTGCAAGACATATTGGGAATTTTTAGACTTTAATCCATATAGTCAAAGTCTGAAACATAGAACAGCAGAGACCAAATGAATGTTTGAATTATTCAAGGTTCTGACACAGGATATTATGGAAATTTTATGATCTATTTCCCAATGTCCATTCTAGTTAGTAATTGGCCTCTAAAAAAATAGCAAAAGGAAGATTTTGAAACTCATTTTTTAAGATTCTATGACTAAATTAAAATGAACTAGTCCAGTCTTTCACCGATATGTGAAAAAGAAGATATCTTTATTCTGGACATATTAGTTTTGTCAAATGAATGTATACCTTTTCAATAAAGTTTGTAGACTTAAAATAATTGTAAAGATTAAAGTCTGAGAAAATTTCTGCTCATGCAAACTCAGTCGGTAGAGCATGAGACCCTTAATCTCAGGGTCATGGGTTCAGGCCCCACGTTGGGCACCAGATGAAGAAGGATGCTTTTTAAAAAATTCCACGCTAGCTCAGAATTGAGAATAATAGATGGTTATTTATTTAGGGGTAGACTCACAAATAGGAATCCTCTGCTGGAATGGAGAACAGAAACCAAATCCCACAGTGGGGAAAGAGGCCAGATGCATGCTCTATACCAGCATAAATAATACAAGAGGCCATGCCCCAGTGGACGGGTAACTACTGGCTATAGGATTTCCTACAACACATAAGAAAGCCGCCACTCCCATTTCCTGGATAATCTGGCCACATTCAGACGGGCTTTGCTCTTCTTTAAGATGTTCTACAGCCCCAAACTCCTCTGATCCCTCTTTGGACCAGTGTTTTCTGTATCGCAGAACTGTGTGCCGGGCACCATATCTTTCTACATCCCCCATTTACACCCCAATGACTTTAGTTCCACCATTATCATCATATGGAAATAAGAATGCCTCAGTGCTAATCTCCCTTAGTGATTGCCATAGTTAACTTCAGCTGTCAACTTGACATAGACCTACAGTCCGCTGGGAAGAGGGAATGCCAGCTGAAGAACTCCTTCAATCAGATTAGCCTGTAACTATGTCTTGGAAGGATTTTCTTAATTACTAATTGATAAAGGGCCTGACCTACTGTGTATAGAGCAATCCCTGGGAAGATGAGCCTGGGATGTATTTATAAAGTTAGCTAAGAAAGCCAGAAGACCAAGTCAACCTTTATCCTCTACCTCATAACTAAACTTGTTCGTGCACCCCTGATGATGAATATGCTGTGAAATGTCCTCCAAGTTCCCTGATAATAGCCATGCTTTCTGTAATAACTTCAAATTGGCACAACATAGATCATCTCTTCAATCTCAGATTTAGCAGCTGGAGGTTTGATTGAGTTGTTGTAGATTTGTTTGCTTCGAGGGGAAAACAAGGCCAGGCATGGTGACACATGCCTTTAATCCCAGTCCTTGGGAGGCAGAGGCAGGCAGATTTCTGTGAGTTCAGTTCAAGGCCAGCCTGGCCAACAGAGTGAGTTCTAGGACAGCCAGGGCTATACAGAGAAACACAGTCTCAGAAAGAAAGAAAGAAAGAAAGAAAGAAAGAAAGAAAGAAAGAAAGAAAGAA